AACCGGACCTTGGACCTTGAGGAAACTTGTGGGTCGCGGATTATGCAAAACAATTCTGCAGAAATCTGTTCTATCCGTGTGGTAATCGATTACCATTCGTATGGTAATCGGTTATCATGTACAGTAATCGATTACTCTGTTTTGGGTAATCGGTTACCATGTGGAGTAATCGATTACCCATTGTTTGGTAATCGATTACCCCCTGTCAGAATGACCAGAAACCAGTTTTAATGCGTGGGAAGATTCCTATTTGGGCATGATTCCTTAAGAAGTCGGTATTATTGTTGGGAAACATTAATACCCTAATAGTGAGGCTTAATGCTTGATAATTATGAACTATAAAGGATGTAAACGAAAAAGGAAACGTTATCGTAATGTAATAGAATTCTAGAGGTTGAATGTTGCTAATGTTTCTATTATAAACAGACTGTGAGTGGGCTGTTTGGTGACGTGGGCTTGTGTGGACTCATTTTTGGATTGATAGCTTGAGAGGTAAGCTTTCGTGTCCTCAATTTTGCCCATTGTTGGTTCCACCATACCTCATGGAGGAGTGGTTATATGCATGTTGTGCTTTTATAAAATTATGTTATTATTACTGAAATGCTATTGAACTGTTTATGAGTGCTTTGCCATACGATATGTATATGGTGTTTCACCTAGACGGTAATCCCTGAGTATGTGGAGACATACAAGATGGAAATTTCATGGGTGAGGTACAAGCGGTGTTCCTTCTACTGTAGGTTGCAGACGTATGTAATCCCTATATTTTTATTCTCTGGCCAGTAGAATGCATACACACATGACATGGATATATGCTGCATTGCACAAGTTTTGGAAATGATATTGTTATACTGTTTTGGAACTTATATTGCACATGTAAGTGAGCTTGGGGTGGAGAGATCCTTGAGGACCCCTTGTCTTACTAAGATTTCTTTTTAGAGATCTCATCTTGTGTTGGGGCACATTTTCAGGTACAGGTACCTCGGAGGTTGATACCTCCAACGGCAGGAGGCCGGAGTTGAGTTGAGCCGATATTCCATGTTGTTTGATTGCCATGTTCAGATAGCGATTATGTTTATGTTCAGTATAATGTTATTTGACTTGAGACATTGTTTGGCTTTGTTTCCTGATTTGGTGAGCATGGGGGTTGTCCATGCCATATTAATTTTTGTCATGGTTGAGTTTATTTGAGTTGTATAATGTATCAAGATATTGTCTGGTCTACATGTTGTAGTTTCGTGACTAGATACACAGTTACTTATACTATGAGGTTATTAAGTTAGTTAGTTATTACAATTTACATACAGGCGATATTTTGGAAAAAGAATAAGTTATTCACTTGGTTAATAATGATAAGTACATAATTGAAATTAGAAAGTTAGCTTCCGCATTTATTTAGCTGCGCTATTACCATTTGTATGTTAATACACCGGGTGCACACGGGGTGTTACATATTGCCACACTAAATCCATTATTCAATCTCTTATTATTATCTGTACAGTCTAATATCTGTACAGTGTTCTTAATTATCCTAATTACTAATCATAATATTTAACGTAACTAATATACAAATCATGAAACTGAATATACATCATATATTATATTGTAATATCATACTCATACCAAATACATACTGAAGTAACATCCAACATATAAACTTGTTCATAGGCTACATATGCCTACCATGATAGATGTTAACTATAACATGCATGATATCTAATCATGTCTCTAAATCATATAACAATACATAAAACTACTACTGTAACTTTATCTTCTAGCCACTCTGCATTGGCCTCTTGCCATTTGGAGACTCTCCTGCTACTGATGTACCTGTGATTTAAATCACAGCCTACGACAGGTGAAAAATGAATCCCAATAAAACTCTGGGTTTATGGAGTAATCTCCACCCATGAGTTCACTTACTGCATGAAAAGTCAGATACAGAGCATAGCATACATCATATAAACATATGATAACTTATCATAACTTATCGTAAGACTCCCAAAGCGTAATTTCTCACTTTGACCAGTCTATGAACTCCCAAAGTGTAATTTCTCACTTTGACCAATCCACACATAATCTCCGAGGATCGAAGTCCCCCCACGGAGTGTTCATAATCTCTGAGAACCGAAGTCCCCCCACAGAGTTTGTTCATTGATCAAGAACCATACTTATCATATCATATCATATCATATCATATAGTCTACATGAATGCAACTAAACTAAGTATCTAACATAAAACATACAAACATACAGATATCCTAACCATCATCCCACTGGATCATGGTGGATCAACAAGAAAGGAGAAAACTCCTTAAACCAAAAGCTTACTTGTAAGCAGCTTTCCTTATACTTAATTGCTTGAACTGGACCTCTTAACTCACTTCTCTTGATTCCAAACTAAAATACATAAACATGGACATCATTAACTATCAATCCAAAACTTTCTTAAACTTGAAGAAATCTTTGTTTTCCATGCATAGTTCGAAATCTTCCATATTTACAGAATCTTACTTATTCATTTATGCCACCAGACAAGTCTTTATATTAAACATCTAAACTTCCAATATTAACATAACATAGACGTTCTACTGAAAAATCTAACATATCTAAAACATAGACTTAGAAAAAGACTCCTACATTTTAACTTAACTTAATCATAACTTATCTCTTAAAACAACTTAAAATAATCTTAATTCAACTTATACAAATCTTTAACTTACTTATTTTTACATCATATAGTCGAAATATACACATGATTTAAGACCATCCTTTTTCATTTTCAAGCCGTTCAATTTAGACTTTTACCGGTTAAAAACCTATACAAACACTAAAACTTCATAAAAACCATCATACAAGACCATATGAGTTCTTAAAATTCATTTTCATAAAAGACCTATAAATTGATAGACAGAAGCTTAATTTAAGAATTCTAACCGTACAAATTGAGAGTTTATACTTTAGATAGGTTAACGGGACCCAGAAATCAACTTAGAACCGAATGAACATAAAAAAAACCATCTTTTTTCAAGGAGGCAGCAAAGAGCTCGTGGTTAAAGGTGGACATATCTCACTCATATGAACTCCTATAGATGTTCTAAGACCAAGGCTATGCTCACAGGATCCTATACTATAAGTTTCGTGAAATAGGATTTTTAGAAAAAGTGGCTAAAACTAGATGAAAATCTCACTCTTTTCTCTCTTGAAATGTGCACCTAAACCATGAAGAAAGAAGAAGTAAAATGCTCTTGGATGTTAGCCTATTTATAGGCATATGGCCGTGGAGTCCAAGAAGAAAAATAGAAAGCTTAACGAAGAAGATAACTTAGTGAGTAAGTTTTCACAACTTGGTGAACAAGTCACCTTACTTAGCGTGCAAGTTAACTTAATGAACAAGTTAACTTACTTGGAAGACAAGCCACACTAACTTAGCGGCTAAGCAACTCAAGTGGTGTCATGGAGAAACTACTTAAATAACTTAAGGAATAAGTAACTAAACTTGCAGAATAAGCTAACCTAGTGACAAATTTTTATAAAACTTAGTGGCTAAGTCTTGAAAAGTAGTGTGATGAAGAAGCTATCTAGGTAACTTGCAGGACATGCTACTAGGTGACTTGTTTAACAAGTAAGCTATGTGACTTCTTGAAGAAGCTATCATAATAACTTAGTGACTAAGTAAACCAAAACTTAAAGACTAAGCAATTCAAACTTAATGGACAAGGTATTGAGGTAACTTATTGAACAAGTAACATACCTTGACCAACAAGAAAGGTTACTTGACTGTCAAGAAAACCAAGATTACTTGATAAACAAGAAAGGTAACTGAGAAACTTAGGCAACACACCACTTAACCTTTATTCGAAATAACTCTAATGTTTTTCATTTTCTCTAAAATTCATGAAATTTTCTAAAGAATTTGATTTTACTCTCAGAATCTAGTTTAGACCAAGTTTCACTAATTTGCAAAATGGTACCTAAATTGTATCATAATTTTGACTTTTGACTTTAACATCCAAATATTACTAATAAGTTCCTAATTGACTTGCTTGGCATAAATGACAATCCCATAATTAATATCATGATTAACAGATCAAACTTACTTAAATCCTTAATTTCATATACTTACTGGTATGGGTTGTTATAATCACCCCACCTTTTTAAGATTTTGCCCACAAAATCACATACATACATGGCAAAAACTCAGGATAAAGTCGGAGAATCTCATCCTCTCGTTCCCAAGTAGCCTCTTCCGTAGTCCGTCCTTCCCATTGGATTTTTACCATATGAATAAACTTGCTTCTTAATTTCTTTTCCTCTCTATCAAGTATCCTTAATGGTCCCACCAGATTCTTTAAATTCTCTCGTATCTGAACATTGTCAGATTGATTGATATGGGACACATCAGAAACATATCTTGTAAGTTGACTGACATGAAACACATTATGTAAATTAGACAAATTTGGAGGTAAGACAAGCTAATAGGCAACTGGTCCCACCCTCTTAATAATTTAACAGGGTCCAATAAATCTGGGACCAAACTTCCTTACTCCTAGAGCACGCCCAACACCTGTAACAGATGATAATCTAACAAAGACATGATCCCCTTCAGAAAATTCTAGGGGTCGATGTTTACCATCGTAGTAACTCTTTTGACGGCTCTGAGCTTTCTTAAGTTTATCTCTGATCAAAACGATATGATCTATGGTCTCTTGAACTATATCTGGTCCAAATAACTGACTTTCTCCAACCTTTGACCAACAAGTAGGTGTCCTACACCTTCGACCATATAAAACTTCAAAAGGAGCCATGCCCAAACTGGAATGAAAACTATTATTATATGAGAATTCTACCAAAGCTAAATACTTATCCATATTGATCCTTGCTCCAACGTACATGCTCTAAGCATATCCTCCAAAGTCTGAATAGTACTTTCAGTCTGACCATCAGTTTGCGAATGATAGGTTGTACTTAGTCTTAACTAGGTACCAAAAGCCTGCTTGCTACAAAGCATTCCAAAAACGAGAAGTAAACTTCGGATCTCGATCACTAATAATGGTTTCCAGGACCCCATGAAGTTTCACTGTTTCCTTAACATACAAACAAGCCAACTGCTCAGCAGAGAAACTAATTTTCACTGGCAAAAAATGGGCAAACTTAGTCAATATGTCCACAATAACCTATATAGAGTCACATCCAGCTTGAGTCCTAGGCAAACCTACAACAAAATCCATAAAATACTAACCCATTTCCATTCAGGAATATCAAGAGATTGAAGTAAACCAGAAGGCCTCTGATGTTTGATCTTTACCTTCTGACATACTAGACACATATTCACAAACTTAGCAATATCCTTCTTCATACAAGACCACCAGAAATTCTTTATCAGGTATTGGTACATCTTAATCGCACCAGGATGAATAGTATACTGACCCTTATGAGCTTCAGTTAATACCTCATCCACCATCTGACCCTTAGGCACAACTATCCTTTTCTTAAATAACATCAAACCTTGACTTTCCAAAGAAACATCAGGTTGCACTTTCATAGCTACTACATCAACATCCTGTTGCTGAGCTTATTTAATTCTCTCACATGACATATTTGCATAAGCGTAAATCTAAAACATACAATTACTAACTAATTCCATTAGCCATTATTAGTGGCCATTGACTAATCAGATATGACAACAAGTGTCATTCTTGCTAGAGTCTCACGGACAGCATTACGGCTGTTTAACGGATATCTGGGAGATAAGAATCTCATAAAAACTGGTCATTTAACCAAAGTGTGTTTAATTAGAAAATCCTAATTAGATTTAGTTGGATACCCTAAGTGAACATAAATTTAGGGTTTTTCATTTATTTATATTCCTTATGTAATTCCATATCCTCACTTATGCATTAGTTCATTTCTTTCACTAATTACATGATTAGTGATCCTAAACCCTAATTAGGTCAAATTTTAGAGTTTAAGAATTAATTAATCAATTATGCTTAATCCACCTCACTTAATCCCTTCATTAGTCTCCTAATTAAGTAGTAGAATATATTTTAAAATTCCAAACCCTGGTTACACCATATGGCTGAATTGCATAGTGCACAAAGTTAGGAATTTTACTTGTCTTTTTACACTCTTTCTTGGTTTAATCAAGTACCTTAAGTCATTAGTTCACAAAGGTGTCATCTTTATAATTTTTAACCACTAAACCCTAATTAATATGAATGGGGCAGAATTATAATACAAGGTTTTAGGGTTCTTAGTGCATCCACATCAAGAACATCTCACAACCACCAAAGGTAATACTTTTTCTTATAAGTCTTCATCTTTCTTGAGTTTAAGACTTCCACCAACACCTTTGAACACCAAGACTCCATTTTTTTTAAAAATACAACATCATTACACCATAAACTCCTTATGGCCAAAACTTAATGTGGAGGAAAGAAGAATTTTTGGTCATCTTTTCGATGGATTCAAGCCTTACTTCTCCAAGATGGCTCCTTTTGTTCAAGCTCCAACCTTTACCTACCAAGAATGCTTCTTTTTTACCAAGAACACACCTTCATGAAATATTCAAGGATTTAGAACCAAGAACATGAATTTAAAAGAGTAAAGGTAGGGTTTTTTAAGAAAAAAAATGCAAGGAACTTACATTAGGAACTCAAAGAATGACCAAAGGAAGTGTGTTCTTCAACAAAAAGCTTCAACCACCATATTTTCCCATAAAAGGAAGGAAATAGAGCTTCTGTATGGAGCAAGTTCAGCCACAAAATTTTGGTTCCAAGATTCAAAAATACAAGCTTTCACAAGTTCAAGAGCTAAGGAACAAGATTGGTGAAGAGTGTTTTGAATTTTGATGAAGTTTAAGTGGTGAAATCTTAGAGAGAAGGTGGAAAAAATTTGAAAACCTCCATGGTAGAGAGAAAAGTGTTTGGGCTGCTGATGAGGGTGAGGAAGTGAGGGTTCCTTATGTTTTTAGGGTTTTGCCATGTCACCTAAGTGACTTTCTGTCATTTAGTGACACCCGGTGTAATTTTTCTTTGAACTTTTATCATATTTTTATCCTGAAACCCCCAAGATCCCAGGTAATTAATATTAAGTTTGTTTAATTAACATGTTTCTAAATCAAAAATCTAATTAATATCTCACAGATACGCTTACGGTTGTTTAACTACACTATAGTCCTTACGGGTATCCTTAACTGTACCCGGGCTTCATAACTTTCTTGATTTTACTTCATTGGTCTAATTATGACTTGTTTGGCATATATTGGACTTATTTTCTTTTTTCTCATCTTTTTCTCCTTTCTGTACTATACCGACTGCTATCACAGCAGTACAAAATACCGGTAACAGTGACTTTATCAAAATATCCCAATATGGGCATCAAAATTCATAGAATCAAATCCTCTTATCATTTATAACAATTATATCATTAGAATAGTCCTCTATCTAAAATTCACTGATTAGGGTTGATCAGATACCTGTTACTGCCTTAGCAATACAAACTATTAGGTCAAAACTCACTTTCTCAGAATACCCACAATATGGGTGTCAATCTTTACAGAATTGAATTCTAAACTCATCTATGATACTGGTATTAATAGAATAACTCTCTAACTCAGATTCACCTGGTTAGGGTTATTCTACAGTCTATTGTTGCATCAGCAGTCAAAATTAACAGGCACAAATTCACCTGTTTAAAATACCAACATTATGGATATCAAAATTCATATAATTTCTTCCTCATCTCATTAATGACCCTTAGGTCCTCATAATATCTCTCTAATTTTGAATTATCCAAATTAGAATTATTATACTCTACAAGGAATCCTTACTACATGTATCATTGCATATATTCTCTTATTTTTTTTGTAGTGTGGATCATCCTGTGATTGTCATTGAATATTATGTCTAAGGTTGTACTTTGATTGTAAAATTCTATCCACCTAAAACATGGGAAGGACAATGTACTTTTGGTTATGACTTAAGGATATGGGTATAGATGGAAAAGCCAAAAAAAATCATTATCTCTGTATGGGATTAGTTTTCCATAAGAAACCAATGGAACTTAAATGACTTCTATAAGACTCAAGAATTTGTGCACAGCAAAGGGATCATGAAGTTGTTTATGGATCCTCCTTTAGAGTTTATAAAAGAAGATTTCTAGTTCTGAGAAAACTTTCTTTCGGTCACTAAAAAGTTGATACTTTATCCCTACTTTTGACTGAAAGGTAGATAACGAGATAAGGGATGGATTGACATGACAACCAAATGACAAATGTAGATCACTTGATCTTCTATTTAGTTTCAAAGCCTCAAAGTATTGCTGGTACTCTATGAGGTCATTAAATAAGTCTATCCGCCTGAGACTAAAGGTTATCATTGAATACTATCTCTAAAGGTCATGCTTTGATTGTATAAATCTATCCGCCTGAAATATACGAAGAACAATATACTCTTGGGTATGACTTAAGGATATTAAAATAGCTGGACAAGCCGATAGGATTCATCATCTCTATAAGAGATTAAATATCCATAAGAGACTGGTGTGACTCAAATGACTTCCATGTGACTTGGGAATCCGTGCATGATAAAAGGGTCATGAAGAAGTTCATGGATCCACCTTTAGAGTTATTGGAAAAAGACTTCTAATTCTAGAAAAGCATTTTTTTCGATTATTAAAGAGTAGATATGGTATCCTTGCTCTTGATCGGAAGGTGGATAATGAGATGAAGAGATGGAATGGCATGGCAGAAAAAGCCAGATCACTTGATCTTCCATCTAGCTTTGGGTTCATAAAGTTAAAGTATTGCTTGTACTCTGCGTGCTCATTAAGTAAGTTGATCCCATTAAATGAGTTTAATTGATCCAAGCTTATTCATATCAGTGGCTAAATGAGCCTAATGGATCAAACACTAATATCACATTTGATGGCATGGACTCATGAATAGTGTGAACCTTATGAGATACGATCAAGCAAGAGTAAGTTAGGCATTTGTTAAGAACACATGGGATTGAGCCCATTTAGGCGCAAGCTAGCTAGGCCTAGGAGGAGCTAGCTACTTGTCCTAATAGTCCTAGGAGAAGGCTACTCCATAATTTTGATAAGATCAAAAGCTATTTAAATTTGAAATTGAAATTTAAATTAGTTATGTATTTTATCTTTATCTTGATTTAAATTTTAGATTTGAATTTGAATAGGATAAGGATAAGATAAGATCTTATCATAAGTTTAAAGTTTAAATTAAAAGATGATGATCTTAATTTAAAATTTGAATCTTGAAATTTGAAATTTGAACTACAAATTTAAATTTGAAACCTATCCTAAATAAACTAAGATAAACTTCATCCTATTCTTAATAGCTATGGTTTGAAAATGGTCAAAACCTTACGAGTGGTCTAGGATTTTGAATTAAACTAAGGAAAAAGTGTTTATCCTTTTAAAATGACACAACTTTACATCTTTATAATGACACACACTTTACCCTTAAACTAAATAAGAATTAGTTTTTGAATTCAAAGTTCAAATTTAATAGAGGAGGAAACTCATGATTGGACCATGAGTCTTAGGATTCATCTTATAAGAACTCTAGGGGAGGTTATGCGATACACATGACACAAGAACAAGCCATTAGCCACCACCTTGCTCCCTCTCCCTTTCCATATACTCTCTTTTTTGCACCCAAAGTAAGGCACCATTGATCATTCCTTTCCATTCTTGTTCGGCCAAGCAAGCGACCAAGCAAGGAGAGATTGAAGAGAAGCGTTCTCCCACGTTTTTTAACCGATGGTGTGGATTACATTAGAGAGCATTGTACACTTCAACACTGCGAGTGACTCTTGTGAGAAAGAACTATCTCACACAAAGGTATGATCTTTCACTTGCTCCATAAATTTATTGAGTAGATCCTATACTTAACATTATGTAATTTCCCATACACAAGAAAAGTTTTTTTTTTCATCATACTACATGTCCTTTATATGAGAAAGAAACAATCTTTTTAACTTTCGCTATAATGTATAATGTGGAATTTATTTGATAAGATAAAGTAAAAATGATTAAGACATGTGTTTTGAATGAAATTCCAAAACATAGGCTTGGGTCATTGTAGGTGCAAGATAGCTAGGGCTAGGAGGCACAAGATACCTTCACAACTTGATGAGATTAAATCTTATTTTAATTCAAATTTGAAATTTGAATTAGTCAAAGATTTGATAATATCAAATCTTATCCTGATTTGAATTTTGAATTTGAATTTAAGTAGATTAAAGATTTGATAAGATCAAATATTATCTTAGTTTGAAATTTGAATTAGTTAGATATTTGATCTTAAACTTGACCATTGTTGTTAAAATCTCGATTTATAATTACGATCTTACATTTTTTTGATTTTTTTCATCAAAATGATTTTACTAATACTCCAAACGCTTTTACTTTTTTACGATTTTTTTACATTACGATTTTACGTTTTACAATTTTTTAATCCCTTTCGATTTTACTTAAGATCTTGATTTTAACAACATTGAACTTGACATTTTGAATTTTGAATAATATCACATCTTATCTTAATTTAAATTTTGAATTAGCCTTATCTCATACAATCTAAGATTTGATAAGATGAAATCTTATCCTATTTTGAGAACCAAAGTTTGACTTGGTTAAATCCTTATCCAAGATAAGGTGGGTAATGGACAAATTTTGAATTTGAGCTAAGATGATATAAGATTACAATTAATTTGAATTTAAAAATTAAAGATATGATATATCCATATCATATTTTCAAAAATTGAGAGGAAAATTGGGAATTTCCATGATTTGATCATGGTCTTAAGGTTTGAAAAGGTTTTCCTTTAAAACCCTAAGTAGGTTTTCCTTAAAAAGGTTTTCCTAACTTAATAAATTTATTGAGTAAGTCATTAGGTTTGGTCTAGTGGTGAGGAGTTTGAAAACAAATTTGCTCTTTAACCACAGCAAAAACCGTGGCAAAATATCATAAAAACCATGGCTAAATAAGTTATCCACTGTTTCAAAAACCGTGACTAAAACTGGCATTGCATTATTTTAACCACGGTATTTTTTGCATTTAAGCACGGTCTTAATGAGTGTGGTAACATTGAGTTAGCCACGGTTTATGTTCTATTAGCCACATTATAGTTGTGCCTAAACGATTTGGATTCCAATCATGAAAAGTTTTATTTAGCCACAGACAGAACCGTGGCTAATTATAAGGATTTTTTTTTTTAAAAAAAAAAAAATATTACAAATTTTCCCAATCATATAAAAAAATGATAAAAATTGCATTTGATACAAGAACCAAAAACTAAATTAAGGGATATAATCAAATAAAATGGAGCACACAATTTAACACAATACATTTTTTTATATTGTACGTAGAGGTGTGCACATGGGCTCAAGCCCTTGTCAGCAAAATGGTGCTCATAACTCAACAAATTAGTGGACAAAACAAGTCTCATTAAAAGGACATAAGTTAACTACTCAAATATAAGTACTCATTTTAGTGCATGCAAGCATCACTGCAAAAAGGTTCTTGTTAAATGCTCTCTGGCTGTAGCTCATGCTTAAGTTAGTGTCTGCAATATCAGAAACTCACTATCAGATTGAAGATCAAGTAACATGTCATTGTTATTCTAAAATTTAATCCATCAAAATTCAAAACTGATTCAAATTTGGGCTTGCAAAAATGGGAGTTAGATAACTTCCATCAAGGGTAATGTAAGTTCAAGGAACAATCTAGCTACCTTTGGTCTCTATGGAAATCCAACACAAGACAGCAATCATAGTCAGCATTAACACATGATGGACAATCAAAAATTGTAAGTACATTATAGGTTAATAATATTTAAATATCTCAAGATGATTTTTCCAGCCAAATCCCATCTCGATTTCTTGTAGAGGTTAAATAAAGTCATTGCAAGATGCTTTCCAAAGAATGAATTAAGATAACTGCAGGAAATTGTACCTGTGAAATACACTCCCAAAGACTGGCACGATCCATCACATCAAGCTGAATTCCAGTTACATTTGGAATGCCTTCAATAATCTGCACTGATCTTATAATGTCAAATCAAGGATCCCTATGAAAAAACCAGTTCTGCTTCCATAGAGTAACTGGTGCAAAAGCAAAATATTCTAGTCAAAGTACCTGCTCTGCATCCTTCAGGTACAGAGATCCCACAATGACTTTAACATCAGTTTGATCTTCAAGATCATCATACAACAATGTTTTACACCATTGACTGGATGAAGGCCTTCCAATTGATGATAACATCTCAGCAGCTGGTTGACAGACCCCACCAGCACCAAGAATTAAAAATGCAGCCTTCTTTTTGGCATCAAGTTCCTTCTCTATGCCATTCTCTTGGACTTTACCAAGTTTAAGTGAAATTTTACTTAAATTTTGATTTAAAAATCTAGAGTTTTCATTTGGATTAGCAAGAGAAGTTAAAGAATCAATAATATGATCCAGAACAGCCCTATCATCTGCACCAACCTGTTGAAAACCCAGCATGTTAATACACCATTTATTCTAAAATCATAATTTACCAAGTTCACTGGGTTGATACAAAAATCATAATTTAAATGTAAATGCCATAATACTAAAAAAACATTGCATACCAGGCCATTGGGCCTGACATAAGCCGAATTTGACTTGGCCAGCAATGGCTTGGCCTAAAATGACACCCCTCCCCAAGAGAGAGGAAGAGAGAGAAGAATGGAATTGAAACTTCTAACAGGATACAAATTACAATGTTTTCCAAATGGCCAATAAGAAATGATTAGTGAGAAATTTAGATTTTCCAATCATAAATTCCGTGGGTATCTAGCATTTCCTTAAGAATAAGGAATAAGTGAATAACCAATCCATCCAATATATTCCGGTTGAGAAATCTTCATTACCTTCGATCAAGAACAATGACAGACCTCCCATATTTCAAGTATATGGATGAGCAGATCATTGATAAAAAGACCAAATATAAAATTTTTGTAGCTATATCTTACAGTTGACTTACAGATACAAGATGGAATTATTCAGTATTGCACTTCAAAATAAAGAGATAGAATCATTCTTGAGGGGCATAAGCAAACACCTAACTTGCTCTCTATACTATGCAATTCTTATATGCTCTGATACTCAAGTTTAACAGCTCTGCCATGTCACAGTGTGACCAGTATGGGATGAATACTCTTGGAGTATATTAGAATCTCCCATCTATCCCTCCCTTCTCCAGTAACATAGGCCATAAGCCATAAGTCATGTATGCATAATTGCATATGCACCCCTTAGCATTTGTTTGAGACATCTTTCATGCAACTCTCTTAATAATAAACTTTTTAAGAAACTACTCAATCTCATTCAAAATTCATTCAAATCGAAGACAAAAAACAAAGCAAGATCATTACCAAAATTTTAAAAAAATAGAAAAAAAATGCAACAATCAAGTGCTTCATCAAATCTAACTCTCCGATTCAAACACCTCAATTCAATCAATCAATCAATGAATGCACATCAAGACAAACAAATAGATAGACAGAGAGCATTTTGAGTTATAAACTACTTTAAAGTTTGCTAGAGTTCATTCCAATATCTGCAAATCAGTGCCTGAGGCACTGACATGCAAAGAGAAAAAATAAAAGAAAAAAGAAAATAAATAAAACAATACACTCACAATGTTTGCAGTCCTTTCATATTATCAACTCTAGGAAAAGTAGAATCAGTTCCATTCAAGTCGCTTATCCTCCTGCATTTCATATTTTGGTTAAACAATACAATTAGAAAGCAATTTAATTTTGAAACCCTTGTTATAATACAAAAATAATTTATATATAGAGCTTCACAAGAAAGAACAGTTTTACCACTGCTCCGGTTCATCCCCTTATTTACATTAGTAAATAATTGAGAAAATTATACTGAACCGTGAGATTTGGCTAAATTACACTCACCTCCTCTGCTATTTCAAAAATTATATTGAATTGTTGTACATTAAATTTCCATTGAAAAATAGTAATAATAATAAAAAAATAACAACAACCAAGACTTATCTCAATTGGTGGGATTGGTCCCATTTAAACTTTTGCAAACACATACTCCCCCTTATACAGCCTTCCATACAAATAAGGGATAAAAAAAGGTAAACATAATTTAGACAAATCTGAAGTGAGGTCAATATAATTTTACTCTAATAATCAACCAATTAACATGATGCTTCAATATTCATTTCAATTTGACACACTAGCGGTTGCCACATGTCTTTGAAAACTAGGTTATAGGATAGTTGAGAAATAAGGAAAAATATAGTTTGCAGATATAAGAAGATTGAACTATACAGTGGTGCACGAAATGGTTTTTCTCTTCCCCCAAAAAGAAGTTGTCCTGATTCCTTCTTCCCACTAAGACCACCACCTGCAGAAGAGAACAGAAAATAATCAGTTGGCTCTGGCTCAGTGGGTAGAAATGCAACTTAAAGAATGAGTACTTTAACTGACCTAACCTTCTAGGAATCCATCCAGGCATCAACTGCTGTCGGTTGTAATCCACTATGATTTCACAATCATCGATAAAAGAATGATGAGCATCCTGCAAATGAGAAAAATTCAAAACATATCAGTACCATTAAAAATTTCATAAAAAGGCATATGACAAGCCAACTGGAGTCCGGATGATTTCATCAGCTACTTTAACTGTGGCTGTAAAATCAGCTGCTCTTTATTTTTATTTTATTTTTTGGGGTCAAGGCTGTCAAAATTTAACTACTATAACAACATGGCTGAATATATATACACAAGCACGGGCGAAGCATATCAAGTGAGAGCATGAGAAGAGCTAATTTTGACCATCCCTATGAGATTTAATGGCAAAGATTAGCTCTTCTCACACTCTTACCAGATAAGCTCCCTGTATATATAGATAATAAGGTTTGATAGGTTTTTAGTTTTTGTCATGTCATAAAGCTTCATTTTTTTAAGCTAAAAATTAGACAAAATTTTCACATGTAGCAGTACCATATACGCTCGCCGCATCTCCCTTTCAATTTCATATTCAACAAAAGCATAACCACAAGAAGCTCTGGTCACTACAACCAAAAATAAATAATCACATATAAAAACTTAAATCCCACAGCTTGACAATATGTATGGTTAAAAGAGAAAATTATCAATATATCATTCAAAAGCACAAATGCATAAAATTGCCAAACCAGTTGCAGGGGTTTAAAACAAAAACATGGCTATACAAGATGCAGTATAAATATCTCAATTGGAAATACTATGACTGTTGGTAAATGAACACTTACAAAGAGTTAATAAAGGATCCTTTTTTAGTGTGAGGACAACCATAAAACAACTTAATACAAGAAATAATATACGAATAATCATTGGTTCAAGTACAGTTTACCTTTCGAATATATTGGGAACATCTCATCAAATTTATCTTAATGGCCAATAAACTTCCTAGAAGGTTGCCTATGACAATATCAAGTATAGTTTTCTTATTCCAATTATTTGATTATGGATTAAGGAACATCTTATCAAATTATATATATATATATATATATATATATATATATATATATATATATATATATCAATTTAAGTAACCAGTTCCCCACACAGTACTCACTCACTGTTACCAATATCAAAAATAAGGTGAGCGTACCCCACTCAACGCGCCAAACACCATTATCCCTCATAGTACTCATAAGACTTATGCTTTCATCTCCCACTACCCACCACCTATTCTAATAGTTAAACACCACAAGTTTCACAAACCCAAGTTCTAAAGGCTCATCGTAGGTATATGGAACACTCTTGGCATCATCTCTTAAATTCCTATAAAAGACAACATATAACAGGATTATAATAATATTAAACCTTATGCACCTATCCAATGCTAAATAAGTAAACAGTCAACTAAGTAATTGGAAAATTTCATGCAAGCACTAAAAGTCACATCTCATCACATGGAGCTAAAGAAAATCACAAGGAAAATCAGATGCTTCAAACTTCGGGTCACAACACAAATTTCAATTGCACATAAAAACTAATAATAATTTACAAAGAAATTATAACTTAATTTTACATTTCCATACTAATTTAGCATCCCAGTGATTAAAATCTCAACGTGTGTAGAAAATGTCGAACACAAACAATAAGATATGCTTACAAGTTCGACTCATCAGTGTGTTGGCGTAGCTCGACAATTCTACAGCACTGAGGTCTTGATCACACGTTGACGCGGTTCAACCACTTCAGCGCCTCGAAGAGGCGACGGTCCTGATTTGAGGCATTGCAAAACAGAGGAAGCTATGGCAGTGGGAAGTCGATGTAGCGGTGGCCGGAGGACGCAACAGTCGTGGCGGTGACGTAATTAGTTTATGTGAAGTGAATTGGTTACCGAAAGAGAATTAAGAAGCAGAACGAGTAAAAATGGTAAAATATAGGGGAAAATTAAGGGAAATTAGAGTTTATATGAAGTGATGAAAGGCAAAGTGTATGTGACACTGAGCCCTAGACGAATATATTGAGAAATGGATGAAGAGTTTGGGAAAGTACAGGAAAATAAGTGTCAAAGGAAAAAAAACGCGTCAGGGAAAATGTACTTCGTCTAGTTAATTTGAAAAATCAGTTCAGATCCTTCATTTTGAGAGGAGGGTTTAGAAAAATTAAAAGAAACGTGTGTGTTGGCTGAATGAACGTAACTAAGTTGTCGTGGCTAAATGCCACGTTTTTTGTAGGGTTAGATTATGTGTTCAATTTTTATTTGTATAAAAAAATTTAGAGTAAACATCATTTTTAGTCCCTAACAAAAAACACGGTCCCCACTTTAGTCCCTTACAAAAATAAATTAGTCAGTTAGTCCCTAACAAATTCAAAGTGGACCCATTTTAGTCCTTTTGAGGGACTAATATGGGTCTTTTTTGAATTTGTGAGGGACCAATATTTCAACTAAATGGGTCCACTTTGAATTTGTTAAGGACTAAATGACTAATTTATTTTTGTAAGGGACTAAAGTGGGGACCGTGTTTTTTGTTAGGGACCAAAAAAGATATTTACGTAAATCTTAAGATACATCATGATGCATGTAAAAGATTTAACTGCCAAGAATCTATTGAGTTACTTTTATGAAATTAGGATTAGATTATGATTACTTTTATCGTTATCTCTATCAATAATTAGGTTGTTTAATTTTTCTATAAATTGTGAAAGACCTAATCAAATTATAAAGTAGATTTATTTGATCCTAAGTTTCTTTCTTCTTTCTCTTCTCTTCTTCTCTAATCCGAGCATCTGAAATTACCCCTTCTAATCTCATATATAGATAAGATTACCCAAGAGTGGTAGTGTTTGAGTACGACTTAAGCTTCTCTTATATGTAAGGCCTTTTATCTACTATTCATATTTCAAATATATGACAGCTTTCATCCTATTCTTCTAGAACTTGTATTGTAAGATCCGCTATGCTGAGATAGAACAACATGCATCGCTATGTATTTTCTTCCCTGTGTTGTCAATAGTTATTTTTTTTATTATCAAAGTAACTATATATTATTTAATATCTGCAATAATAGCTATGTTAAATTCATCCCTTGATAAATCTCGTTTTCAGTTTCAAGGCTTATAGGTTATGGCTCAAAAAAAGAAAAACAAGAAACAAAGTTCGTTTTCAGTTTACAATATATAAGATAAGGACAAATAACAAATTATATTTTCTTATCCATCTTATTAAAAATTGATATTCCATATCCGTCAAGGTAGAACAAGTCGTTTTTCTCCTACTATTTTCATTTTTTAAATAAACTATTGCATTTGTACCAATATTAGCTTATTCGAAACGTGTCATTTTCATCCACAATTTAATATACGTACAAGACTTAGTTAATCTCATTCCACATATAAATTTGACTTATTCTTCTTTCTTTTTAATCTTTTTCTCGTACGATGAAGGGGAATTGTTGGGAACTCGATTCCCTAAAGCTCGACTCAGGGGTCTTTTTTTGCGGAAGTCAGTCAGCAAGATCCTGATCTCGGATCTCGGCAATACCTCGGCCTGAACTTCACCAGGTCAGGCAGCGTAGCGAAAATCAAAAACGAAAACCACAAACAGGAGAGAGAGAACACAAATAGTTTTAACGTGGAAAAACCTTCTCCAATGAAGAAGTAAAA